GTGTCCCATGCATCCGTTTATACGATGGTACGATGATACGAAAGTGTTTCTATTGGTTGGAGATCTGTCAATTCGTCCGTCGTCGTACGACGTGGAGGAATTGACAGATCTCCAACCAATAGAAACACTTTCGTATCATCGTACCATCGTATAAACGGATGCATGGGACACAGGCTTTAGAAGTGACAAACATTACTCAAATAAAACGACAGTAATTTGGAAAAATAAACACAGACAAGACTATAAAAAAACCCGATGATTCATTCGCAGCGTTTCGCAAAGACGTTAATGGTTGTAACTGTGTTTTTTGCGAAAAGTATTCAATTTGAACAACAGACCTTCATGTATATCTGGCTCGAATTTTAAATGGGTTATTATTATCAATTTATTGCCTCGGTGCCACATAAAAATGACATGTACAGCAATAAGCACAAATTTATTCAAGCTGAGTTTTAAGGATTCATGAATAGGAAGCAGAACGTTTGTCAGAAATGTTCAAATAATGCAACAACAACAATCATAATATGATCTTTATTGCTTGAGGACATGAACCGACTGCTTAATACAGGCAATAATCCGGGTTTTATTCAATTACAGCGTTTTCCAGGGTTTTTGAATTTGGCGCCCAACATTGCCACCCGCATATCCATGGAAACGTGTAAACGTTTTCATTGTCAAAGTCAAAAGTTTCGAGTTCGGAAAACGGGTAAAAATGATCAAACTACATCCAGTTTCGGCATTAAATGATGATTTAATGGGTCCTAAATGGAAGAAAAAGACTTTAAGACCGTTGTCTATTATTTGGCAAGTTGCGGTAGTCGGAAGTGTTGGGAAGCGCTTAATAAGTTAGGTAAGCATCCGAAACCGGTCCTCTAAAATAAAAGGAGACGCAAAGATAAGAACGCAAATAAAAGCACAAAATCTTCAATTCCTTAGCAAGTTTAAGGTTGCTGCTGGTGCAGCTTTGGAGCGCTTCATTATCTTCACGCGTTGCGTCCAGCACACAGCACGGAAAACTGTAAGTACCATAACACATAATTTGCAAAAATATCGCATTTTTTCGGGCTTGAAAGGTTTGAGTACTAGTTAAAAGGCCATGTGGTTCAGGTGTTTGCCAACTTTCCTAATCCGCAATTAAACCCGACAACAAACGCCCGCTTAATTAATAAATCGGTCTTTAGCAATCGATAGTTCAAAGTGTTGAAGAATAAACGGCCAATGGCAGGGACCGAAGGTCATTACTATGGTTGTACGGAAAAGTAATAGTAGGTGCTGGGCAGTACCACACAGTAGAGCGGGTGACAGTTTCCAGTGCGGACTTGATTTTCGTGTTTTTTCTGGAACCAACTTGGGCAGAATGGTAATTATCGGAACCTTTCAAGTTAGATGAAAAAATGTGGGGGCAAAACTGTGTCTTGAGCGCACACATTTGCACCCGGGAAATTCACTTTCATTCAAACAAGGTTCGAAAACAGCGGTTGCAATTTTTTGGCGAAATCTTTCTTCTCAAGAGCTCTGTTCTAATATCAAACACGTATTTAGCTAAAAAGCTCTATTTTTTAAACTCGCACCTTCGTGCTTCTCATCGAATCTCTTCCTCTCATGGACATGAAATAATTGAACTTGATTCAGCGAAAAAATGATAAATTGGTTGCAATCGAGCATTTCGATTCATTCATCCATTCAGCAGCTCTCCGGTTGAACTGAATCGACCCTGTCAATTAATTTCAGATGCCATAATATTATCGGTTTATTTGCATATAAACAAATAACGCTGTTAAGACACCAGTGAAGCAGCAAATAAACACCTAGCGCACCATAGGTCAGGCCTCGCTAAAATCCTTAAATTAGAGGCCAGTCGCATTAATTCGTTACAATAATTATCTGCTAAACAATTGAGAAATATCGTAGTTTCCTGAAAACTCGCCTGCTCCTTCGTGTTCCGCAAGGCTTGAATATTTACCGAAATCATCAACCAAACTGTTGCTTTTGTCCTCTCGTTCACAATGACCTCTTTATGGACGTATTCATTTGTCGCATTTCCATTTCGATTGAACTTTATTGAGGTTGACACTTTATGGGAATGAGGAAAACCATTACCAAGTGACGATGAGCCGCATTTGAATTCAATTAAAACTGCGTTTATTAAGTAATAAACGTGATCATTTTTCAATCGATATTATTGATCAAGCTCATAAAGGTGCAATTAACGTCAACACATATTGACCAACACCATTGAGGATTAAATGTTGAAATTGGAAACTGTTCAAGTTCGCACCATTCGACGATCTGTTGATCTTGAATCAATTAACATTAGTAGAGTTTGGAGTGCTGATCGAAATTGTTCTTCCAGATCCACCTCCACGCTGAACGCGTCTTTTAGCCGAAGAAATGGTGATTAAGAAGCAGATAGTGTCTCTGCCAGTGAGGCCAAGAAGGAACAGCTCAAAACAGGCGAATAATGCCGCACACAGGAAGGTCTACGATGCGAAGCCCAGAATCGAAAGTGCCAAATGCCGTAAGTTTGCGAAAACACTAGCGTTTTTCCATTGATGAAGACATCTTGGAAATAGTAAAAGGGAGTTGGTCCAACACCAAATAAAAAAGTCATACTTTTGGAAAACATGCAAACTTTTAGAATCAGGGGAAATCTATTTCTGCTTCCGTTAAAAAAATTATCCAAAAAATAATCCAGTTTGTAGCCCAATACCGTTTGAGTATCAAAATAGTGGTTTTCTAAGCACTTCTTTTGATGGCGCTTCTCTTCATTAGCGCACACTCCTCACAGTAAAGGAATTGTCTACCGGGCGAGTTTCGTTTCAACGTCGAGCGCGATCGGACCACCAACTATTATTATCTAATTTCCATGAAAAACTTGAGTTTTTCCAAAATTGCCATCAAAATCCTGACACATTTTTCCTTGGCAATGTGAAAATGATAAAAAAAATGGGCTAAATGATGTAGGTTTAGCTTGAAGTACTTTTAGATCTAACGGTGTTTGTATACCGAATGAAGTCAATAAGCAGGTCTTGTTTGCTAAAATGCGGAAATCGCATCGATGAGAAACTGTGAAGTTGTTATACGGGCCAACAACTAGACCTGTTGAGGGTCGATGTATTCATTTGCAGCCGTTTATCCGGATGCGATCCGGTGCATTTCGGACCTTCTTTATTCAGTTTAAATGAATTCATAAATTCGAATGCGATCAAGGTGAATGTAGTTCATTTTTTTATTCAAATACCTCTTGCTCTAGATCAGTCAGCAATGTTTATTGTTTGAGTTGATTTTTTAATTCAATTGCTTGGGTGCAACAGGTTTTTATTTCTTCAAGCTAGAAAGTGTTTCGTGGAGTTAAGGAAACAACACACATTTAC